ACACACACAAAGACACACACACACACACATAGAGGTGTTTCAGATGGGAAGAGGAGAAACCCAGAATGGAGAAACCCAGCTAGCAGCCCACAGGAAGAGAGGAAATCATATGCACTTTCATTTTCTGTTGGATAAATCCAGGATGTGAATGAGAGGGAAACCAGAAATTATACTTTTGATTTTGTTTTATTTATCCCGGTAGAAGATGAAACTGCAACACCGAAATATTGATCAAATTCAACCCAATTTCAACCCGTTTTAATTCAGTGAGCAGGTTTGGGGTTAGTGTAAGTTATTATTGAGAGAGAGAGGGGGGTGGGGGGGCTCTGACCCCTGGCTGGAGCTCTTTCTCCTCTGGCTGTAATAGACAGGCAGGGAGGGGGAGGAAAAGGCCTTGGCTCTGCTGCCCAGGGGCTGTGGGCCCACTATGGAGTCCAGCCTGTGAGGGAAGCAAACACACAGTGACGCACACAGAGATGTTCAGGAACCCAGTAGAGATACTTAACTCATTGGCTGCCAAAGACGTCTATAGAGGTCTTTTATGTTTTTAACGAGAGTGTCTGGGGGACGATCTGCTAAAGCTTGTCCGTAAATATGGGCTTCTAGACAGAGTATGTAGTAACAAATTGAGCCTCTAGGGGGCAGTGCCACTTTTGATGGGAGATGAGCATAGACTGTAGGCAAATAAGAAAAAGGGAACGGTTCTATGAGAGAACATGTCGCCGGTGAGACGCAAGTCCAGGAAGAACGGAATAAGGTAGAAACACATTTTTTTTCCTGATGAAAGAAGAGAGTCTACTCTTTCTTTTGGTGTGTTCGGTGTTTACATAGTCATAGCACAAACTATTCTGTGGCTCTGGAAAAATCAGTCAAAATGCTAAAAAAAACTCTGGCAGTATGGGACTCTGTTCTGAAAATGGCTGCCAGTCAATGAGTCAAGGACTGTCCTTAAGTACCAAAATCCAGTATCTGTACTTTATTGGAGGATATATTTTTCCCTACTTTTACTTTTACTCCACTACATATTTTTGATTAATTAAATCCTTTTACTTTTACTTTCTGGGGCTGAATGGTTACTGGTTACTGATATGTAAACGTAATGAATCCTCCCCAGTCATAGAGTCAGACCAGAGCTGGAGATATTCTATCAGGGTTTGGGAAGCTGGCTCCTCATTGGCCAATTTCAGCCATTATAGCCTATTAAAAAAGCCTCCCTAAAGATTTCAAATGGCCTTCAAAAATTCCCCATCTAATCTGAAGAAGCATATCAAGGTGAGTTTAAAAATACAAGGACACATAAGCTAGTAAATAAGTGCTAGTTCAGTTCTCCCTGTTCACTCAGGACGTAGCAGCTAACGTTAGCTAAAGCTAACCTAGCTGGCTAGCTGTAGGATAACGTTAGCTAAAGCTAACCTAGCTGGCTAGCTGTATGATAACGTTAGCTAAAGCTAACCTAGCTGGCTAGCTGTATGCTACATGCTAGCATAAAGGCTCAGCTCAGGATTCTGACTCTGGAATAATAAATAATAGTTGATGAAGTGCTGTTGATGCTAATGCAGATGTAGTTTTCTGTTTTTGTAAACACCTGTATGGCCTTTCACAGGTTTAAAATAATATAAACAACATCTATCAACCTTTTTTTAATATACACAGTACTTGTACTTTTACTTATACTTGTACTTTCAATACTTGAGTAGCAATTTTTGAAATACTTCTACTTGCAATACTTACGTAAAGAAAAATGGAGTACTTCCGTACTTCCACTTAAGTCTGGTGTTGAAAGAACACTTCAACTTTTACTGTATTCATTTTTTTATATAGTACTTGTACTTCTACTCCAGTACTTTACATATCTCTGATAATAAATAACAATAAAAAATAAAGAATAATAAATAATAGTAGATGAAGTGCTGTTGATTGCTAATGCAGATGTAGTTTTCTGTTTTTGTAAACACCTGTATGGCCTTTCACACGTTTTCACAACAATAAAAACTATACTCGAGTCATTTTTTGATATAGTACTTGTACTTTCTACACCTCTGATGCAGGTGTATAGAAAAAGGGGGGTTTTGGGGTTTGGGGGCTCTCCTTTACCTGGTCTGCAGGCTCTTGATGCGGCAGAGCATGTCCAGGTGTCCGGCCGAGTACTGCTCGATCACGTCCTTCACATCGTACGGACGCAAAGTCTCCTTGAACTTCTTCTTGGCCACGTGGAACTTCATGATCCTGCCGGAGAGAGAGGAAGGATGAGGGGGAGGAGAGAAGGGAAGGATGAGGGGGGGGAGGAGAGAGGAGGATGAGGGGGAGGAGGTGGAAAAGGGGCAGTTCTCCCTGATCCGTGGCTTTAGTCTGAGTATGGACCTCCAACAGGCTGCTCTAAGGAACGGTACAGGAGCTGGATGAATAAAGTATCTATCTATCTAAGTAATAATAAGTATTAATAAGTAATAATGAGTCATTCTCTCACTACACAGTAATAATAAGTAACAATAAGTCATAATACGTAATAATAAGTAATAAGTCATAATAAGTCATAATAAGTCATAATAAGTCATAATAAGTCATAATATGTAATAATAGGTAATAATAAGTCATAATATGTAATAATAAGTAATAATAAGTAATAATAAGTAATAATAAGTCAAAAAACATAATCATAAGTAATAATAAGTAATAATAAGTAATAATAAGTCATAATAAGTAATAATATGTAATAATAAGTCATAATAGGTCATACTCTCACTACAGAGTAATAACAATGAGTAATAATAATTCATAATACATAATAATACGTAATAATGACTCATAATAAGTCATAATAAGTCATAATAGGTCATACTCTCACTACACAGTACTAATAATAAGTAATAATAATTCATAATACATAATAATCCATAATAATGAGTCATAATAGGTCATACTCTCACTACACAGTAATAATAATAAGTAATAATAATTCATAATACATAATAATAAGTAATAATGAGTCATAATACATAATAATAAGTCATAATACATAATAATAAGTAATAATTTGTCATAATAAGTAATAATAAGTCATAATAAGTCATACTTTCACTACATATTAATAATAATAAGTAATAATAAGTCATAATTTCACTCCACAGCATCCAGTCATCAGTAATCTTTGCTCTAAGGGAGGAACTGTTGGTCCAGAGGCGGCTCTCTGCAGCTCTGGCCGGGGGAGGATGGTAATAATAAGTAAAATGCATTAAGTCACAATAAGTCATAAGTCATAATAAGTAATAATAAGGACTCACCGGACTGCCCGGATGACGGTCTTAATTGAGGGCAGCAGGTCCTCCACAGAGATCTCGCAGTGGCAGCCTTTCTCATCAAAGCCGTCCTCGGCCGCCATGTTGGACTCGGCTGCTGGGGGGGAGGAAGAGGAAGAGGAAGAGGAGGATGAGCCAATCACAGGGTTTCAGAGCAGTCTGAGTCCTTCAGATCTGAATAAATATAAATCTGAATATATATAAATACCCTCATTTGTATAACAGAAGCCTTAAAAAGTGAGAAAGGTATGCTAGCATGAACCTTACACTGACAGAGATAGAAAAATCTGACTCATTTAATCCCATGTAGGCTCTAAAAACACTGGAAATCTTCTTATTAAGCCATAAACAGCCAGTCATTATTATTATCATTATTATTATTATTATTATTGCTACATGCTAACAGGAAATAAGAGACTTTAGAGACACTATCTATCTATCTATCTATCTATCTATCTATCTATCTATCTATCTA